AATAATCAAGTGACGGACCTTAATGGAACTAGGTTCAAACGACAGAAATTTGTCAATCGAACTTCACGTACGGAATTGGAGAATCAAATTTAGCCTAGGAAGGTCAAGGGATGCCTCAGCCCACGTGCCGCCGTACACGGCGGTCGACAACCCCAACTCGCTTGAAAAATCAACTATTTCTAAAAATTCTCAAACTTCACAAAAATGAAGATCTCAACGAGTAGAACAAATTTTATACCTATGGCCAAGTTCAATTTGGTCGGGAAATGCTTCAAATCCCCACGAACCCATCGGAACCCTAGAATTTGGGTGTTCTTGATTTGTCCTCAAATCAACTCCGACGTTCCAACCAATGATTGGGCATTGTTCTTGAGCTCAAGGGAGGGTTATTGGTGGTGACAATTGAAAGAAATCACTGCAGGAATGGCAGATTCGCTGCCGTGCATCCCTCGGAGCCGACGTGGGTGTTCTTGTGAAACTAGGGGTCAAAAACCCGTCAATCATGGGTGGAAATTGAAGAAAAAGGGCTGGTGAGAAGTTCCCAGATGGTGAATGGCTGCAATTTGGTGGATAAATTGACGGAAAACCGTCGGAATGGCTGCGGAACGGGTCGGGTCAGTGGGGAGGAATTGGGTCAAGGGTGATCTGGTGCTCCCTCACTCTCTCATTTTTCTTCCTTTCTTCTCTTTCCCATTGGTCAATCACCCTCCCCCATCTCTCCATTCGTCCTTACCTATCCCTCATTTTTCTCCTTTATTTTCCATCTCCATCGACCATCTCTCCTTCCATTCAATCTCAGCGACACACGTGGCTTTCCAGATTTAGCTTAAAAAATATGGAGCCTTCCTGAAAATAATTAATTAACCATTTTGTCCTCAACTTTGTTCGTTAATAACTTCTTTGTTATAACTCCAAATTATGTTCTGTTTGCACCTACGCATTCGTAGCGATGAGTACTACGAGGATACGCCAAGAAAACGAGTCTTACATGACATGACATGGCAGTCAACGAAAGTCAACCTCCTCGTCTCAAAGGGCAATTTTGTCCTTTCACTCTTCTAAAATTAATAAAATCGTAAAAGTAGGGACGAGTTGTCACATGTGTAGCACATCGTAATTCAAAAAATATCTTTTGCACGCGCGTAAGCGCATGTATGAAGGCTAGTTCAAAGAAAATAAATAGGGTCATTTTGGTTCCGATCCTTAATCAACTTAATTGTTAGACTGAAACCTTGTTTGTTTAAATATTTTGACCGATGTCCTTAGCCTCATTTAAGAGACTTAACTCATACATTTATGCATTTAATGTCCAACCAATTATGAAATTTAAACAAATTCAAATAATATTTTTAAAATATAATAAATACTTAAAAATCAATTTTAGAGTAATATTGTTCTTCACAAAAATTATAGCAAAAAAATAATGTACCCACATAATTATTAACATATTAAAAAATAACTATTGATATATTTTAAAACATAAAATAAAGGGAACTTTAACGAAAAACATCCGGTACCGTTCACTTTAACTAAAACCACATTTTTACACTAAAAAATCAATTCTAGTACTATTCACTTTACCCTTTATTTTTCCCTTATCGTTAAAACTCAAAGTTTTCAAGCATTTTTTCATTAGTTTTCCTTTAAATAAATGCATATAATTAGCATGGGTACATTTAGCAAAATTAAAAATGGGTACAAATAAATTAAAAAAATATGGGTACAAATACAAATAAAAGTTTAAAAAATATGGGCACAAAAAGGAATTAATATATGGGTACAAATTAAAATTGAAGAGAAAATTGGTACAAATTAAAAAAAGGGTTGCAAATTAAAAATAGGTGTCACGCCCCGATCCTACATACGTACAGGATTGACATGCGACGTCACCAGATACCCGTATATCTAACATACCTCGCCTTCGGGATATGGACAAGCCATAACTCAAAATTCAGATTGCGTAATAATTTTTTGTATACTTTATGACTGCATCTGTAATACCCTGAAAAATTTAAATATATGAGATGGATATTCATAATATGTGGGGAAAAATCGAAAATAAATCGATTTATGATTATAGAAATAGAATTGGGGAATTTTATAGTTTTGTTATTGAAAATTTTATAAGTTATGTAAAGTGTTATCAAGATTTTATGTTATTCATTGGGGAATTATATTAATTTATTTGAATCTAGTTTTAAATTAAAATAGTTACGAAGTTTGAAGTTGGAAATTAATTATTTAAAATCCGTCGACCTTTTTAGGTCACAATTTATATATGTGAATAGAGCTCGACCCCATGAACACGTGGGCGCAAACCATTCATGAAATGGACTTATAACGAAGAAGATATAAACAAACAAAGTCAGGGATGAAATGGTCATTCGACCATTTTCTGGAGAGCTCCAGATCTTTTGGAGCATGGGTGTGTAGCCACGTGGCGGTTGGTGAGTGGTGGAAATGGGCACAACCCAATCAGAAAAGGAAGAAAGGAGGGAAAGGAGAGAACAAGAGGAAGAAGGGGGAAAAACGAGTCTTTTGACTCGTGAGGCATAACCGGCGGGATTTGTTGTCTCCCGGCCAAATTCCAATGAAATTAAGGTCCCCCATCACCTGAAAATTATCTCTAATCATCTCTTTTACCAATTCCACCACAACTAATCATCTCTTTTACATAATGGAAATTGGTCCCTACAAAGAAATGGTACTAAATTGGAAGTTAAATTGTATGTTCTGGAAAAATGAATAATGCTTATAAATTGCTTGTGGGATGAAGGATTTTATTTGGAGTTGTTAACTAAGGATAATAAACTAAATAAGAGTTTTATTTTGGGCCTATCACTAATATCATTATTTCTCGAAATAAAGTAAATATTTCGGGACTGGGGCGTTACAGCATCTAACCTCTTTGTTAGACTGCATACGTACCCTCCGATAGGATCAAGCCATTTGTAGTTTACCATTTTTTAAACTCTGAACTTTTTGTAAAACACTTCCTAGCAGAAAACATAGAGTACACGTCAACCATAAGCCAAACAAGAGTTGTCATCTTGCCATTCACACGCACATATACTTTCCAACACCATTCCACAATCACATAAATTAATAACTTATACAATATACCAAAATGCAGGGCTAGAGTGACACAGTTCGGCCGAAGTCTACATATCTGAAGCTTTCTCAATTTAGACCAATCCAACGAATCAACGAAGTCAAGGAGATGATTTCGGACCACTCAACGAAATCCAACAACATTAGGTTACAGACCACTCAACGAAATTGCGGAGTAGAAGGGATTCTGGACCTCTTAACGGAATTCGAGTGGATACAATTTTGGACCACTTAACAGAATCGCTGAGTACAATTGATATCAGACCACTCAACGAAATCCAAAGCAGAAGGATATGATTCCGGACCATTCAACATAATCGCGGAGCACGAGGGATTCCGGACCACTCAACGGAACCCCAGCTGAACCCGGTTTTGGACCACTCAACGGAACCGAGTGGAAGTCCAAAAAACATAACAACGGCTCAAAGAAACAAGACATGAATCAAGTTACTCAATTTAGAACGGCTCAACAAAACGAGAAATGAAACAATGAAGCAAGATATGAAACAAGCTCTCACATTTCATCAAACAATTCAATAAGCACTTCAAATCACATTTCACAACTATCATCAATGCACAAGTCAAATCATATTTAATAAAAATAAATCAATGGCTAAATATAAATAATAAAAAAAGTCACATTTCAATAGAAATCACATTTATAAAATCAAGTGATATCCACAAAGGATACTAAATACGAAATTAGGGTAATAACCATATCACATATCTTAAAGTCACTTACTAACCAATGTAGGCCTACTAGACTTCATTTAGTATCCAGTAGTACTAATTTTAGTATTTAAGAACGATTCGAGACATGTGCTGGAAGTTAACTCTCTGTCAACGGTAAAGTCCACCAACCTGCGTAATTCGATCTAGAACATCCGTCTACAGATTTTTTATCCGTAATTTTTCAAGAGTCTCATTAATCTTCTAGAACAATATCCTAAAATTTTGGAACAATCCAACGGTCAGATCTCCGACAATCATTAAAATTAAGAGGCGGTCAACGTTTTATTTTACAAACTTAGAAGTTCAATTCGGGAAGATCCATACGTCAGATTCCCGATTTGTAAGTTACTAAAGTCCTCAAATATTATGTACTATAACGAATTAAAGTTTGGTGACGACCCAACGGTTAGATTGTCGATGGTTAAAATGATCAAGTGGCTGAACTTAAGGAAACTATGTTCGAATGATGGGATTTCGTCCATTGCATGTCACATATAGGAATTAAATACGTCCTTGAAAAGTCTGTTTAGTTCATTAAGGGCTTTTTCGTCCTTTTACTTATTGAAAAAAAAACTATACGCCGTAATTATAAAAGCGTCGAAACTAAGAATACGAAATACGTAATTTTAAATAGTGAAATCCGGAGACGGGATTTCACAATGGGTACAAACTAAAAATAAAAATAAAAATATGTGATAAAAATTTAACCATAAATATAAATATAAAAAATGTAACATTTCTAACACTAAATGAATATATTTAGAAAAAAAAAATCTTATTATTGAAATAATTAATGACGTTTATTAAAATCTAAGGATCATGATAAAAAATTGAAAAAAAAAAAATTTAATCAATGAAGTAGAAATAACATGGATGAAAATCTAATTTTTTCTAAAAACATTTCTTTTTGCTAAATACAAAGTTTATTTCCTTGTTCAAACACACTGTAATTTCCAACCCCTTGACCAGCAAGTTGCAACCTTGACTTGACTCTCTCTCTCTCTCTCTCCAACAATCCGAAAGATCCAAATATCCACAAACCCGTCGTCTCCCAATCTCCAATCTGGCACCCAAAATTTGAATAGCTGAAGGGAAAAAAACCCACGATTTGGATTCTGAAATGGAAAATTTCTCGGGCGAACTCACGATTTGAGTGCAGGTCTGTCTGTCTCTCTCTCCCAAATTTGCTAGTTCTGTGCTGGGTTTATGTTAAAGTGGATATCCAAATCCTACTATACACGCTAACCTCTCTCTTCCTTCCTTCTTATGGTGGCGTTGAAAGAAAGGGGATCACCATCGTCTCCACCATCATGACCATCATCATGATTTCAAGATTAGAAAATGTCCAACACCAACAGCCACTACCAGCCGCCCACAAAGTAAGCGCTCCTTCCCTCCCCTTTTATTTATTATTATCTCCTCCCCATGTCAACGTCACTTGTCTCACACACCCATTGCTCTCTCTCTCCCCCCCCCCCCCCCCCCCCCTCTCCTGGGTCAATTGCCCTATTGGGGTTTCTTCTTTTGTTTTCCTGCCATCCCAAAAACCCAATTCCCCCCGCCCTCTGCACCAGGTAGATATAGCTCTCTCTGTCATCTCTCAGGCATTTATTCGAACACCTGCTGGGCGTTCTAGATTGGTACTATTCCTGCTGCTGCTTCTTCTATGATTCCAATAGATTGTGGTTATAGTATTGATGGTGATGTGATTGAGTGAGAGAGAGAGAGTCTTCATGTCTTCTTCTCTTGTTCGGATGAAACACGACAAGCAGAAGGTGAAGGTCCCAGCAATACCAACACCACCAACCTTTCGTCTTCTCTGCTATTTGGGTCAATGGGTTCTCGTCCTTCTTATTCTTCCTTGCTCTGCCTCTGCTGCCTGCGACCGGCTCGATCGCGACGCTCTTTTGTCCTTGCCCTTCAACACACCGTTGAATTGGTCTGCTTCCACTGACTGCTGCCTTTGGGATGGAGTCACCTGCGACCCGGTTGAGCACAGCCGCGTCGTCCGGCTTTCTCTGCCCAGGAGAGGCTTATCCGGTGTCGTCTCTCCGGCCATCACCAACCTCACCCGTCTCACCCGTCTCACCCACCTCAATCTTTCCCACAATTCCCTCCTGGGTTCTCTCCCAGACGACTTGCTTTCTTCCCTCCCAAGTATTGCGGTCATTGACTTGAGCTTCAATCGTCTCATCGGCCGCTTCCCACAATCCTCCAATGAAAGCAGCCACCTGCAGATTATAAACTTGTCCAGCAACTTCTTCAATGGAACAATCCCAGCTTCGATCCTCGTCCCTTCAGTGTCGGTTTTCAATGTCAGCAACAACAGCTTTTCGGGACCGATACCGGTCAGCAATGGCGGGAATCACACTTCCCTTACCTTCTTGGACTTGTCCTTCAATAAATTCACTGGCCCAATTCCCCCAGGAATCGGATTGTGTTCGAGGCTCCAAACTTTTCGGGCAGGTTTCAATACCCTTAATGGTTATCTCCCTGATGAAATTTTTATGCTTGCTGATCTCCAACAGCTCTCTCTGCCTGTAAATATTCTCTCTGGACCCATCAGTGATGGCATCATGAACCTCACCAATCTCAGGATCCTCGAGCTTTATTCGAACAACTTCTTTGGTCAAATCCCTGGGGATATTGGTAACCTTTTCAGGTTGGAGAATCTGCTCCTACACATCAACAACTTCACTGGTGCCTTGCCTCCGTCCCTCACCAACTGCACAAATCTATCCACTTTGAATTTGCGGGTTAACAACTTGACTGGACAGCTCTCTGCCTTCAATTTTTCTACTCTCCAACGCCTCGCCACTCTGGACCTTGGCGACAACAACTTCATTGGTGAGTTACCTCAAAGCCTCTACTCTTGCAAGTCCTTAACTGCTATTAGATTGGCCAGCAACCAGCTCACAGGCGAGATATCACCTCAAATAGTCGCGTTAGAATCATTGTCTTTTCTGTCCATCTCTACCAACAACCTGACAAATGCCGCGGGGGCTTTTAGGAATCTGAAGGGTTGCAAGAATCTGACCACTCTAGTCTTGTCGAAGAATTTTTGGAATGAGCCTTTGCCAGATGATAAAAGCCTTGGAGACCCAGTTGGATTCCAAAAGCTTCAGGTTTTTGCTATTGGGGGTTGCCAATTCACAGGTCAAGTACCCACATGGCTAGCCAATGTTACAGCTCTTGAAGTTTTAGACTTGTCGTTTAATTTTATAACCGGTTCTATCCCCGGTTGGTTGGGTAGTCTGCGCAACCTTTTCTACGTAGATTTGTCTAATAACCTCCTTAGAGGAGGATTTCCTCTTGAGTTCTGCGGGATGCAAGCTTTGACATTGAAAGAGGCTAGTGATGTAGTGGACAGAAGTTATCTAGAGTTGCCCGTCTTTGTGAAGCCCAACAGTGCTACTAATCAGCAGTACAATCAGTTGTCCAACCTCCCCCCGGCAATATATTTGGGTAACAACAGCCTTACTGGCAGTATCCCCATTGAGATTGGTCGATTGAAGTATATTCATGTGTTGGACCTCAGTCATAACAACTTCACTGGCAGCATCCCGGAACAGATTTCTAACCTGACCAACTTAGAGAAATTGAACCTCTCCTATAACCATCTATCCGGTGAAATCCCTGCTTCTCTCAAAGGTCTGCATTTCTTGTCTTCCTTCGGTGTGGCATACAACGATCTTCAGGGACTTGTACCATCTGGAGGTCAGTTTGATACTTTTATGAACTCCAGCTTTGAAGGGAATGCTAGACTATGTGGCCCTCCAACTGCTCACATCACCTGCCCTCAACCTTTATCACCTGCTGATCGAAGATGTAACAGAAGCCTTCTTATTGGACTCACCTTTGGGATCTGTTTTGGCATTGTATTTATTGTTGTCATGCTAGTAGTTTGGATGTTGTCTAATAGAAAAATCATTCCCGGAGGAAATACTGACAAGACGGATTTCGAGACCATGTCTAGCCAATCTACTGCTGTTGCTCCTGAGCTTGACAAGGATACCAGCTTAGTCATACTGTTCCCAACCAAGACCAATGAAATCAAGGATCTTAGTATAACTGAAATCTTGAAGGCGACTGACAATTTCAGTCAAGCAAACATCATCGGGTGTGGAGGTTTTGGTCTGGTTTACAGAGCAACGTTGGCAAATGGAACCAGGCTAGCTGTTAAGAAACTCTCTGGGGACTTGGGTCTGGTGGAAAGGGAATTTACAGCAGAGGTTGAGGCACTGTCCACTGCCCAACATGAGAATCTGGTTTCCCTGCAAGGTTATTGCGTGCATGATGGCGTTCGCCTATTAATGTATTCGTATATGGAGAATGGAAGTCTGGATTACTGGTTACATGAGAAAGTGGATGGTCCTTCCCAATTAGATTGGCCAATTCGACTGGATATTCTGCGAGGAGCAGGCTGTGGGTTGGCTTACATGCACCAAATATGTGAGCCGCACATTGTGCATCGTGATATCAAGTCAAGCAACATCCTCCTGGATGATAAATTTCAAGCACATGTTGCTGATTTTGGATTGTCCCGGTTGATTCTTCCGTACCAGACTCATGTTACAACCGAGCTTGTTGGAACTCTTGGTTACATTCCTCCAGAGTATGGACAAGCATGGGTGGCTACTTTGAGAGGAGATATGTACAGTTTCGGGGTTGTCATGCTTGAGCTGCTAACCAGAAAAAGGCCTTTTGAGGTATGCAAGTCAAGGGGGTCAAGAGAGTTGGTTGGCTGGGTGCAGCAAATGAGGAGAGAAGGCAAACCTGAGGAAGTTTTCGATCCTCTCCTGAGAGGGAAAGGCTTTGAAGAAGAGATGTTGCAGGTTCTTGATGTGGCTTGCTTGTGTGTCAACCAGAACCCTCTTAAGAGACCGACGATCAAGGAAGTTATCAATTGGCTGAAAGATGTAGGGACATCCCAGCAACACGAAGATAAAAACTAGTAAAATTTTTTTTTTCCTTTGACACTTGTTAAGAAAGTATTTATATATATACTTGCACATAAATATTTTGGGTTTATTGTCGCAGAATTTCATCACATTACTTGTGTAAATGATATTTGCTTTAAACATCTATGAGGCAGTTATAGTTTTGTGTAAACCTGAGGCTCGCATTTCCAACTCTTTCATTACAGAAAACTTGAATTTTTGCACAAAATCGTTCTTTCTGTCAATAGACTTTCACCCCTTCTCTGAACTGGAATCGCGCAGAAGAACCTGCTTGTGATATTCGTATATTGGATTGTTAGCAATTGATTGCATTGTCATTCATTCGATTCATTGATGAACATAATATATAAAAGAAATAAATGTCTATTGAAATCTTTTGTAATCAGTCTTTTACTGTTAGATTCTCTGTAAATTTCTAAATTTTGAGACACCTGCTGATGCACACATCACTAGTTCTGTTAATCCGGAGTGTGAATTGCACAAATCTTTGGGAATACAGAATTGCAGATGTCACTGAACATTTCGGTATGCTTACTTAATTGGTTTTACTCATTCCTGATATGAATAGATTATCTCTGCCATGATTATATGATATATAGAGTTTTTTTTTTTTTTTTCTTCTTTCGTGAAAAGAAAGACGATGTTATTGATACTGATATTCAAGTACAATCAGATCGCGAAGGAGAACATCCTTAATTAAGTCAGGAGGAACGTTGCTCCACACTATCACACCGCAGAGTCTTGGATTTGGATTTGAAAAGGCGAAAGCTCACAAGAGTGATGTCTGCATTGCCACCTTCATGAGGTAAGACATCACTAAAGAGTATGGGGGAGGCAAAGAGGTTTGAAAAATTCTTGGTGCACAACTTTTGTGGGAAAATGCTTTGGTGAGTCATTGATTCTGCATAATATATGCAAAACTTTTGCTGATTTGACAGCATGTTTGGTTTCTGTAATTTTCAAAATTCTCCAACTTTAATGTGTTTTTCCTTGCATGATTTAGATGTGTTTCTTTTTACTTAGCAGGACAGTAAGTGGCTACAGAAAAACAAACTAGTTTGTAGCTTTTGCACGTCATATCAGTAGCTTGCAGAAGAGGCTTCCAGATTTCAGATAAATTTAAATTAAAGAAATATACAAGTTTCGAATCGGAAAGCAATTTTTAAAAGGAACTTTAACGAAAAGCACCCGGTACTGTTCATTTTAACGAAAAACCATATTTTTACATTAAAAAGTCAATCATGGTACTATTCACTTTACCCTTTATTTTGTCCTTATGATTAAAACTCAAAGTTTTCAAGCCCTTTTCATTAGTTTTCCTATTTTTAAACTCACGTTTTTTAAGTTTTCTCTTCTTGCACTGAGTCTGCTTCGCTTTTTAGCCTTTAAATTGAAAAAAATCAAGAAAGATAAATGAACTAGTACTAAAACAAAAGGAGAAGTGCCAAAGTGAGGAAATGATGTTTGTTTTCGAATTATTTACTTAATATAATGGACAATCTCATATTCTACTCCTTTTTAGTGTATTTTCACGAATATTTTGAAAAACGAATTCTAACACAAACGTGAGAAGAAAAAGCTTCTGAAGAAAAAGAAGTTATTGCAATGTCATTATGTCGTAATTCCCCCTTTACTTCCAAATTAAATTCTCACATCAATGGAATTAATCACAAATTTGCTAGTAACTAATATCTATGATCACTCAGTACTACAGTTTTGTGATATTTCATTTCACTTGTAAGCGAGAAGTATTAGGTTCGAAGCTCGTGGATGGCGAATTCGATGCTAAATTAGGTTGCTCATTGTATAACTTAACCGAACTATTCCCTCGCTTTAGTTTTAAATATATTATTGTACTAAAAAAATATATCCATGACCAACCAAAGCTTTTTTGGCCGTATTCTAAGTTCGTTTTGCTAAAGAGCGACCGAAAGAAGTTTCTATTTATAGCATTGAAAGCCCTAAACAGACTTCATTTCTTTGCTACGTAACATGTCTCATTTCAAATCTGGATCTTTTCAACCGATTTATTAGTGTTCAAATGTGTTACCCTTGTACACTCAAGTTTTATATCTTTTTAAATATTTAATCGATTCACTAGTGCCGAAATGTGTGATATTGTTACACCCAAATTTAATATATTTTTTCTCGTAACTTAAATTAAATTAGAACATCGCTTGAACTATTTCAAATTATGTTCAGTGATCATTTTGAATTATTGTTTCGTTTCGTTTGTTTTTGTTTACATAATGCTTTGACATCCTTTACTTCATTGTGAAGACTAAATTTAGTAAATTAAATGACATGAAAGTTGATGATTCAATTATTATTTAAGTGTTGATTAACGTGTTTATTTCTTATTGACGATACATTATTTAGTTTCCAAATTTAGATTACTCCATCTTAAAAAAAAAGACAGAAAAATGAGTCAATATGCTAAACAGTTCACACCGAAGAAAGAGATGAAGCAGACGGAGCTCACGGCGCTGCTCTGCGTGATATGGGCGGCGACACTCCTCTACGGAAGCGGTAGATTAAGCACAGGATTATTTACACCGTAGTTGGTTTAAAGACACGATTAATAGTTTAAGTTTGAAAACATGATTGGTGGTAAAGAGTTAGATTACAAGGCAGGACAGGAATATCCTTGTTTAGATTTTATCTAATGTATTGTCAGATATTATTGGTCATTCATTTGATGAATCTACAAACTTCCCCAAACTAGACAGCATATCCATTGACATCCCATTTGAATTTTCTGTCCCACCTTCATTAGAGAGCCCATCCAATATCCATGGTGAGTGGGTCACAAGATTGGATGTGGAATTTGCTGTTTGTAGTGGAATTTCACACCTTGTGTGTATGTGAGTAGGGGTCCAAGAAGGATGTAGAACTTACTGTTTATAATGGATGTGCTTTTACCAAGTTTATAATGGATTTCATACAATTGTTTTAGGAGAGTAGCTTTCCTGCAACGGGTTATCACCCTTTTTGCATCTCTTATCATATGATTAAGGAGAGATGCAAAAAGAAACAAAGAGGGCTATATTTCCATTGCATGTCAATTTTACGCTTATTTAGAGTCACATAATCTTTCCTAATCCAAACAATCACAAAGTTGGAATTGAGAGTTTTGAGTCAACGACTTATCTAATTATGGTTACATTCCAATCCAAATGACAATCATTGCAAAACCCATAATTACAAATTATTACTCTTTTTTGGACAATCCAAGATGTTGGCTCCATTACTATTTCAACATCCCCAACAAACCCATGGTTACAAGCCTTATATTCTCCAACATTGACAAGGAGGGTGAAAACATTTTCTCCCCTAAAAACTCCAAAGAAATTAGGGAAAAGGAAAAAGTGAGAAAAAAAAAAGGAAAAAGGAAAAAGAAAACACCAGTTGTACTTGTAAATATTGACTATTGAAGCAGCAATGAGTCAATCAAACAGGCCTTTCAGACACAGATACCCCTCCATGTCAGCTACATCAGTGTCCATGCTTTGAAGGTCTGGCTAGTTAAAAACCAAGCGTGTGGGCATAAATTTTAACTTCTTCTGTGCTCCGAAAACCTAAATTGGGTTGGCCCCCAATTAGGTAAAAAAACTGAGTAGTGGCACTCCAGAGCAAGGAGAAGATAACCCATATAACAATTGAAACCAAACCAGATCAGCAGAAACAAGCATCTTCCATGGAGTAGTGTAGTGTAGGTACAAGGAAAAAAGGTTAAAGTAAGACCGGACGGTGAGGTTTAGTGTGTTCTAAGCGTCATACGTATATATGTGACATCTCTATAACAACATGCATGCAAGATGCATCATATAAGAATGATGGATCTCGTAAACATGTTGTTAGAGGAAGAAGCGTCAGCTATGACGGGCTAAGACAATAAGTTTTGTTGGATAAGGTGAAAAGAAGAGAAAGAAATTAGCTAGTCATCTCCTTGAATGTACCAGCAAAGGAGCATGGTGGCACAGCGGCGTAGGATGTAAATGCGGGCACGTTGCTCCTTCACCTAGGCAGCGCATTTCCGGCTAAAACCGTTGCTGATTCGCTTCGATTGAGCCTTGACTGTGGCTGATTCACCCTGGTTGCATTGTACTTGAACCATATCCATGACTGATGATGGCTAGGCTAGCTGAAAGGTGATGTTTTGAAATGAAAATAGAAAGGAAAAAAGAAAGAAAAACAAAGAAACAAAGCTCAGGGGAGCTTGAAGGAGTAGAGTGTAGGGTAAGATGGTAGGAAGTATATATACAATTTCAAAGCATGGAGTTGACTGAAGTTTGAAGGATGTGAACATGGTCAGGCTCGGAAACTGAGGGATATGCAGCCTCAGCAGCATAGTTTTCTATGAAGAAGGGGGAGTGAACGTGGGGTTCAATGTAATAAAAAATTGGAAATTACTTGCATCCACCTTGTGGCTCCCTCAATTATAAACGGGTGCATTTTTCACATCACTCTTGAGGGGTGATAAATACAACAATGATAAATAAAGGAAAATTTTATTTAAACCCATCTAACTTATTTCTACACCTAACTTACTCTTTTCACCCATTTGATTTTTAACTAAACTATTAATATCTCTTTAAACCCAAATTTAATACCTAATATACCCCCATAAATCCAATTCAATATGTGGATTTATTTTTACACCCATTTGATTTTTAGAAGCTAAATAGACCTGGGAACTCCTCCTCGGCCACTTTATTTTCTCGTAGAAGCTCATAATTAAGCAGCAGAGGAGGAGAAGACAACATAAAAATACTTACTGTGCAAATACTTTACAGACAATTAATTGCACAGTAAGTTTTTTTTACTGTGCAAATACTTAACATCTTTTGTGATGATATTGTTTGATAAATAAATATAATGAAATAGATCATACAATTGTTGTTTTTGAAGAATATGATATGAAAAAGACAGCATAAAAATGAGGCAATCTAAAGATAAATGGATAAATTAGTGAAATAGAGCATGCACCAACAGTAATGCAGTGCAATAAGCAACTCAATGAAGTGGAGTTAACCTCATTAAGAATCGCAAGTGATTTATCTCTCTCATCTGATAAGTTGAGCAATCGAGACTGAAGCTCCCTCGCTTCAGTTGCTAAAATTGCTTTCTTCCCAAAGACTTCTCTAGCATGCTGCACAGAAAGAATATAACCTCAGTTATGATGCACCCTTAATTAAAATTAGCAGAACTCAGAATCCATTAACTTCGAACTTTAATCACATTTCACAAAATACAACTATGTCATTTGCGTCTTTTGCATGTGCCAACATCCGTTTAAGCTCCTCCACCTTGACCATGATATCCAAACCTCCCCTAGAAGCTTCCTCTTGAACAATATCCACTGCTTTCTCCTAGACCTCACTTCTCTCATCATGTTGATGACCGATTCCATGGCTGAAAATAGGGTTTTCTGCAACATTGTTAAACGATTAGGAACTCTATCATCGGGGAGGAGAGAAAAAATGGTGCCGCCAAAAACTAACTCCATGACAATGGTGGGTCAGCAAAATAACACAAACAAAACATTAAGAATACGCTTTCAAATATCAAAACAAGATTTATTATCCCAAGATAATACATATTATTGGTAAAAAAAAACGAATACCTGCTTGTACCGGTGGAGTCCCAGGACTCTGAACCTGCACAAGACTGACAACAAAAAATGACTGTAGCCAAGTTAGGGAACTCACTAAGAACATCGAGGACAGCTGCATCGGCATCGAAGGGATGTTCAATAGCAATAGCCCTTAGAATGCGAAAATCAACCTGAGCCGAATCAGAAGAAATAATATGGACGGTCAGTTACAGTCAAAAGTAAACACAATCATTTACGAACCCCAGCCTGTAAAATAAAAGCTTCTCTCTCAACTCTCAGATTTATATGCAAGGAGGAGGAAAAGAAACCCGAATTTTACAAGAGTCAAAAGTTGATCCAAATCCTGGTATGAGAAAACCCTATTGAGATTTCAGCTA